AGAGACACGGGTAAAGGTGTGGTGTGAGGAAGGAAAATATAAGGACAGATGAAAGATGACCAGCAGAGTACAAGAGTTACTCAGGGGGGAGACAACGAAAGAAAGGAAACAGAGAGAGAGTGATGAGAGAGGAGGCAGAGGGGGAGTTATGAACGAGAAGGGAGACGAGATGAAACAGGAGAGTGATGAAGGAAAGAGACAGAAAGAAGAGAAAATGAGAGACTGGGTGAGTGATGGAAAAAGTGAGAGCGACGATGATGAGAAAAAGAAAACAAAAGAGGAGGGAAGGAAAGGAAAGGTGCTGACTGACAGAAGGAGTGTTTATCTTTCTGCTCATTCCGGATCTGTAGGCCTTTAATTTTGCCTCTCCTCACCTGTCAACACAAACATTCACTATATGTAACTTTGTAAATATATAAAGAACACTTGTATAATGACTGAAATTTGATCCAAATAAGGTACATTTTCTCTATCAAGGATTTTTCTCTCCACCTTGTTTGACCCTTCCAGTCATCTGTCTAAACAGCTGTCTCAGCCAGGCAGAGGTGACGCTGGGGCTGTAAAAGTACATAAACATGGTATAGGAGGAGAGTGGGAGAATGTAAAGAGAATGAGGTACTCGGTGACTAAGCAGGACAGAGCAAAGAAAAGATAGATTTTGTGAAGGATCCTGTATAAAACAATTTTTTGATGGATTACTTTTAGAGCCATTCCACCCAGGTTCCCTTTTATGTGCTACAGTACAAAGCAAAGCCTGATTAATGACTGAAGGCGGCTTCTCAACATCACATTACAGCACAGATTCCCTTCAGTGTTCAGCCTTTATTTCAGCTACCTTTTTGGCTTCTGTCTTGCAAATTCTGAAAAACCCAAAACAAACACACACAAAAAAGAAAAAAAGCACTGTGTACATCAACAAATGATATTAACAAATTCAGTTTGGTAAATTCACTTTTGGTCACATTTTGAATACTGTACCTAGTTTTATTTGATTACTCTTAATTCACTATAATCTTATTTGGGTCACTGTAATTTAGATTATCCTACTCCCGCTCATATTGGAACACGGCAGTCCATGTAGCTATTGTCAGGTCATGGTACAGGAAAGAGAAAAAAATCCAGACTAGTTAGGATATAGCAGCAGGAAACAGTTCAGTATGGTCTCAGTGGTCCAGATGCACATTATCTACAGGATATACTGTACAGAGCGGGCCTCTCTTAGAAGAACAAATAAATTGCACCAAAATCCCAGCTGAGGGTGGGAATGTCTTTTTTTTTTTGTCTTGTTCTTGTGTTGTATTATTCTGCAACAGATTTATTTATTTACACAGAACGCTTTAAATGTTTTCTACCAATTAATTAAGATAAAATAAATGTGGCTTTCCCGACAATCTATTCTAGTGATGACATCTTGTGTGTGAAAACATTTATTCTGTAATGCTGCAGCTGAGAAACAGATCTTATTATTATCAGT